GTGTTTATGTATAAAGCCAGGAACAATTTATTACCTGGTGGAATTCAAAAACTATTTAATGAAAGGGAAGGGGGATACAATTTAAGGGGTCCGTTAAATTTAATAATTCATGTTATACGTACAACTAAAAAAAGATTCTGTATTTCCATAGAATAATTTAAGTGTGGACATAAAAAAACAGTAAGAGAATTGATGAGTTTAAACACAAATATAAAGGTATGTGTCAATCAAGATATGGGCAAGAACAGGCTTAACGATTAATCAGGTGTAACATTGTGAGTGTGGTGTTTTTAGTATATCACTAGCGTGGTGTAGAACAAAATTATCTATGTAGTAATACTGCTTGCAAACCAATGATGATAAGATGATGTTAGGGGGTAGGACTAGATAAGTCTAACTTCTTCCTACTCCTTTCAAGCATGTACTAGGTATAAGCAAGTTGATAATGTATTTGTGGATATGTGTGAAATTAGGTGTGTTGACAAATTGACTGTTGTTACGTGTTTGAAAGAATAAATCAAATCAAATCAAAAACTCTCACCAGTGCAGTTTCTGTACTATGATGGACTCTAAATCCTGACTGAAAATCCTCAAACTAATGATTCCTGTGCAAGTGGTAACATAACAGCTTTTTCCAGAATTTTAGAAATAAATGGGAAATTGGATATTGGTCTATAATTAGTTAGGACACCTGGGTCGAGTAGGCTTTTTGAGTAGAGGTTTAACTACTCCAAGCCTGTGGAACATAACCTGTTAATAGGGAAAGGTTAATCAGATCTAGTATGGATGTGTTGATTAGGGGAAAGACGTCTTTGAGCAGCCTGGTCGGGATGGTATCCAGGAGACATGTTGATGATTTAGGTGAAGCAATTGTTGAGGTCAACTCAGAGAGATCTATGGGAGAGAAGTAGTCCAAGTATAAATGAGGTCTCACAGATGTTTCTAAGGCCATTGTAGTAGATGACACATCCATGAGAACTGTGGGAATGGTCCGACCAATTTTTTTTTCTAATAGTTGTGATTTTATTTGTAAAGAAGCTCATGAAGTCATTGCTGCAGATATCTAAGGGAATGCTTTCCTTCATCTCTTTGAAGCAAGATAATACAGTGCTGTAATGTTTTTATGCTTGTGGATTCTCTCTTTCCTCTGTCTTTGTTTTTTTCTTTCCTCCTTGTCTCAGCCGCTCAGGAGACATCATTGAACCTCTTCTAAAGAAGCAGTGGTTCATCCGCTGTAATGAAATGGCTAAAAAGGCTATACAGGTAGGTTGGCAGATGTGAGATGTTGATATTCAGGTGAGCCTTTTTGTATTTAAGGTTTGTAGGTGAATCATATACTTTATTTTGATGTACCAACCAAGAAACTAGGGTCAAAGCAAAACAGTATGTTGGTCATCTGTACCTATTTTATGTTTGGACCAGAGGATGCGTGGCAGGAACAGGTGACCTAATGTCAGTTACTACAGTGCCAAGCTAAGGCAGCGGCAATGCGAGGCAACACCACACATTTCTTAAAACATTAAAACTCAAAACCACAGATGCCACATGTTCTTTATAATACGGGATTGTCTGTTTTGATAGGTAAAATGCTCTGTCCCGTACTGGTTCAATAGGGGATGTAATTTGTCAGCCTACAGTATAAGAGGTGGTCAGAAAGAAGCTAGTCTAAGTTTATGTTGTTTAGCTTAGTTTTCTGCTCTGTTTTCATCGAGACTTCTAATACACTAAAGTCTGTGATGAGCTGAGATCTGAAGAATTTTATGAATGAAGGGAGATAGACTCCCTTTTCTGTATAAACTGCTGTACTGCACAGTTTGAACTCTAATCGCACACTTTTCTAGCCTATAGCTAATAACAGAAATACATTTTACTACAAAGCAAACTGAACAGCAGTAAACCCAGCTCTCAGCACCACCACTACAGAGCAAAGTGATGTAAATTAATCCTTGAGCAACATTTATTACACAGTCAAATGTGACTTTTTTTTTTAATGGTAGGCTGTGGAGGATGGACGACTAGAAATCATTCCACACTTCTACACCAAGGCATGGACGAACTGGCTGTCCAGCATCAGGTAGACTGTCCCAATCTTTGGCTTTGACTAAATCTGTATATTGTTAGTACAGTAAGAGTGGTGGGAGCAATAGCAGCATATGTCATTGTTACTAGTGTGATTTGTGTGAAATGACACCACTCTGATGATGAGTGACCTCTTGTTTCAAAGTATGGGTTGTCAATAACGTGTCGCTGTTTGCTTCACAGTGATTGGTGCATCTCCAGGCAGCTTTGGTGGGGTCATCAGATCCCTGCTTACCAAGTGAAGCTTCCTAATTCTACTGACAAACAAGAGGTGGGCTATGTTAAATGTTAGCTTATCCCTACGTCAGACTAACAGGGCTTAGGTCCTTTCATCCAGCACAGCCCTAAATAGAAAAACATGGCTATAGAAATGGACGAGTGGTTTAATTAACGGGTTATCCCCACATTGCAACCTGGAGTGAGTTTGTCACAGAGTGTGGTGCTGTGCTGTTTGTTTAGGAGCAGTGGGTTTGGGGACGGAGTGAAAACGAGGCTCGTCAGAGAGCTGCTGTCAAATACGGAGTGAAGCCAGAAGCCATCACTTTGACACAAGGTGACTCATTTTTATCTTTCCCTGCTGCATTAGCTGATGAAAACTGTACTCTGCTTTAGCTGTCACATTAACATAAGAAAAAAGTCATTTATTCCCTGATCATCAGTGGTTTTACTTTTGCTAACCTTGCTACTGCTAGCATTAAGGCTTGTACTAATGCTTTGACCACCTCTGCTACTAACCCTACTTAATTTGTTAGCCACCTTGTTTTGCAGAGTTAAATGCAAATAAAATTTTTAAATTCTTCATCACCCTTCAGCAGAAGCTCTCTCTCTGCTGTGGTGACCTACTGCACTCTCTCTGTGTAGCCAGTGAGATACCGGCTGAGCATGGTTTCAGCCGTCGATATCTCATTGTCCTCCCTGAGGTCGTCAGTCCTGAGCCCTCAGACTTAAGTGACGTCACTTGTAAGTGATTGAGTGCAAAGGTCTGCAAGGGCTGGAAGCTGTAAACAGGAATGGGACAGCACTTTGTGACTGAGGCTGTACCATCACCATTACGACGCCATGGTTCTAACTATCGTGGGTTTAGAGCGTTTTATTTGATGTTTTTACTTTCCTGTTCCTCCCACTACATTATTAGGTTCACTGTAGTACTGCTCTGGTGTAAATGACATCTATGTAAACTTACAAATGTATTGCTCCATTGCTTACATCCTCATGCTCTCTCTGTGGCAGACCCTGATGTCCTGGATACGTGGTTCTCCTCAGGACTGTTTCCCTTCGCCATGCTTGGCTGGCCAGAGCAGGTATTGTGCTTCCTCCGGCTGAACATAGTCCTCAATAATCAGCCCCGTCCCTTTGTATTCTAACCTAAACCTGTCTTCCCACAGACCGCTGACCTTCAGCGCTTCTATCCCAGCTCTCTTTTGGAGACAGGCAGTGACCTCATCTTCTTCTGGGTGGCAAGGATGGTGATGCTGGGCACAGAGCTGACCAAACAGCTACCCTTTAAACAGGTACCTAGTTAAGGAGATGAACAAAACAGTGCTCATACAAACCAGAGGCGGGAGACTCAAGTCAGACTCAAGTCGCAAATTTTAGGACTTGAGGCTTGCTTGGCTAACATTGGTAAGAGACTTGATTTGACTTGGTAATCATGATTTGAGACTCCACTTAGCCTTGAGACAGATGACTCGAAATTACTTCACTTTTCTAAAATTAAATATTTAGCATTTTTCTAAATAACGAGAAGTTATATTTTCTTTTTGAAACACAATTGGGTGAGTTCTAGTGCACTGCTCACAACCTACCAGACTGCAGTGGACTAGCAGAGGGCAGTGCAGATCACAGGATGCAGCTGTCCTGGAGGGGCCTAGTCCAAACATAATATAATTTGGATTCAAGGATTACTTTGACAATGATGCAAAGTCTGCAGCACAAAATTCAGCGACACATCGTCCAACTTCATCCGTCACTAAAAAGACAGCTAAGTAAATGTGTATGTTAGTTAACTTACCAGCTTGTCAAACATTAGGTGGAAAGCTAATGTTAAGTTTAAGCTGCTAGACTTAGCTTTGAGAAGAGTTTCTCATGGCTATGAAAGGCATGTCTTTTTAATTTAATAGCTAAGGGTTAGTTTAGAGCCTACAAATGGAGAAAAAGTTTGTGAATGTTTCACTTGAATATGTCATATCCTCATGACATCATATCATCAGCATTTTGTGACTTTCTTGACTTATAATCGGGACTTGCCTTGACTTGCTTGATTTTCATCACAGTAACTTGAGACTCGCTTCTGACTTGCACATGTGTGACTGACTCCCATTTCTGAACAAACACGATTAATCAATCACAGTGTTGGCTCATCTTGTTGTTTTTCTGTTCTTGTTATTCCTGTCAGGTTGTACTTCACTCTCTGGTGAGAGATAAACATGGCAGGAAAATGAGCAAATCTCTGGGAAATGTCATCGACCCACTAGATGTTATACATGGGGTTTCTCTAGAGGTGGGTAGCTCGGTCCAGGAGGCATGTTTCTGTCAACAACCTGCTGATATCTGTCACACTAACTGAATGTGAACGACTGATTTTTTTTTTTTTTTTTTTTTTTAAGTGGTGTCATAAGTATATAATGAGAATAGTCAAGCAATGTAGTTAAGTACCACATTGTAATTTTTCTTTGAACTTTCTCTACTGTATATACATTATATAGACAGTACAACTTTACGTTATCAACATCAGTAAAGGTGCTACATTATATGCAGTGTCGTAGAAATTACCACATTTCCACAATACCCTCTCATAACCAATTTCATGCTATCCATTAGACAGTAGCCTGACACAGGAGCCACAAACTTTTAACAACAACTCAGTGTTTTTTTTAGCTAATGTCTCCTTAAAAAGAAGTTATCAGGATTAAATAAAAGGGCAGCAAATCTACTTTGATCAATTCAATAGTTGGATTTGGAAAGTATTCTTTTTTTGTTTACAACAGATTCTCATTGTGTTGCTATTTCGATCAGACAACATGCACTTTTATTGCTGAGTAAATGAAAATAAAAAATGGACAATTTACTTTTGGTAAAGGTTACCGCAGTCATAATGAGGTTCTCTTTTTGAATTGTTATTGTCCTGACAATGGTGGTCCTATTTTCATTAACGATCTTACTTTAATGTTATCTCAATTTAGGGTTTATACAGTCAGGGAAAAAATTATTTAAACCCCAGCTGATTTTGTAAATTTGCCCACTAACAAAGACATGATCAGTCTACAATTTCAATGGTAGGTTTATGTGAACAGTGAGAGACACAACAATAACAAAAAAAAATCCAGAAAAATGCATTACAAAAAAAGTTATAAAGTAATTTGCATTTTCATGAATGAAATAAGTATTTG